ATATATATATATATATATATATATAATCAATGTATTTATTTATTTATGTATTTATTTATTATTTTTATTTTGTGGGAATGGATTTTTTTATATGATTGTGTGTGTAAATATGAGAGTGTATAAGTGTTTTCCAGTACTGGGTTGCATCTGGAAGGGCATCCGCTGCGTAAAACATATGCTGGAATAGTTGTAGGGTCAATCTGCTGTGGCGACCCCTGATAGATAAGGGACTAGGCCAAAGGAAAATAATAAAATTAATGACTTTTTTTACTTGACTACAATAAATATCAGTGGTCAGCACTATCACTTCACAACAAGAAGGTTGCTGGTTTAAGTCCTGGCTGGGCCAGTTGGCATTTCTGTGTGGAGTTTGCATGTTTTATACCATGTTGGCGTGGGTTTCCTCCAGTGCTCACAGTCCAAAGACATGCAGTAATGGTAAATTGAATTAAATGTCTTTATTGTATGAGTGTGTGTGTGAATGAATGTGTTTGGATGTTTCCCAATACTGGGTTGCAGCTGGAAGGGCATCCGCTGTTTAAAACAGAATAGTTGGAGGTTCAATCTGCTGTGGTGACCCCTGATAAATAAGGGACTAAGCCAAAGGAAAATTAATCAATGAATGAAACAATGTAAAAAATAAGTGGTGCTGTTGGTTCTGACAACCAAAAAAGGGGGTTTTTGTGTTTGAAATAAAGAAAGAGGGAATAAAAATAAAATAATATTAGCTAACTGACTTTAAAAGAATAGTAATATTGCATTAATTGACAGTTATGAATAAGAAAATGATGTTTTAATAGTAGTAAATCGCTAAAACCGCATTAAAAATAATGATTATTCAGAGAAATATTTAGCATAAGATCATTCACTCATTCATTTCCTTTGGCTTAATCCCTTTGTTCATGAGCTGTCGCCACAGCGGAATGACCTGCCAACTTATCCAGCATATGTTTTACACAGCAGATGCCCTTCCAGCGGCAGCCCAACACTGGGAAACATCCAAACACACTCATACATACACTACAACCAATTCAGCTTATCCAATTCCTCTATAGCACATGTGTTTGGACTGTGGGGAAAACCGGAGCACCCGAAGGAAACTCACACCAACACAGGGAGAACATGCAAACTCCACACAGAAATGCTAACTGACCAAGCCAGGGCTCGAACCAGCAACCTTCTTGCTGTGAGGCGACAGTGCTAACCATTGAGCTACCGTGTCGCCGACCACCAACCCTGAAAATATTGGAAAGTAATCAAATAAACAGATTTTGATCCCTGCATTGTAAGTGTGTGTGGCATTTCTGACATGTGGATTTAGAGAAAAAGCAACACGGAAATGAAACTCTCCCATTGCGTATAGCTCCCATTTCTTCATTCTGAAGGTGTCCTTTTTTTATTTGAAAGAAATAGTTACCCTTTAAAAGGACTTGTTCTGACATGCTAACATATTTCGAATGAATGCAAATACATCCGTGACATTTCTCCGAGCAGATATGCAGTAATGACCTGGCATTTGACACGAGCGTCGCAAAATGTGCCGTGTTAAACACTGTTATTATGATCATTCTGTCTCTGTATTATAGACTAGTTCCTTCAGCTCGCCATATTTCCACAGTCAGGAGGAAGAAATGGCTGCACTGTCATAAAATAGATCTGAAATTGACTCTAAACAACTTTATGTGCCGTATGCAATCGGACAGCTGTCAGGATCTGAACAGATCAGCTTGAATAAGCAGCAGCCGTGTGGGAATGGACAGAAAAAACACATCGAAACCTGTAGCTTTAGGATGATTAAAATCATCACAGTGGCCAGAAAGTCAAAACACACATTATTAACCTCAGCTAACGTGATCGTGTCTGACTGAAAAAGGCAGAGAAGTCTAAGGGAATTTACTCACAATAATGCCAGATACACTCAACCAGGGTTTCTGCAAGTTAAATTTAAGACTTTTTTAAGACCATTATGAATGAAATTAGAGGCGGCATTATGGCTCATTGGTTAGCAGAAGGGTGCGAATTACAGGGGGGTTTGAGAAGAACTGACCCCCAATCAGTCTCTTTGAGAAAAAAAGTGACAGATCTAGTGCAACAAATAGACATCGTGTTTACAAGACTTTGTTTTCTCATAAAATGGGTGTTTGTTTCTATATTTTGTTTCTACATTTCTATATTTTCTATGTGTTAGAACTTGAAAAAAAATCCCAAACAAATAAATACATATTCACGAACGCACATGCAAACTCCACATAGAAACACCAGCTGAGGCTCGAACCAGCGCCCTTCTTGCTGTGAGGCGACAGCACTACCTACTGCACCACTGAGTTACCTTATATATAAGGTTTATACAACATCTGGTTCTTGAATCTGATTGGCTGATACTCATGCGATAATTTGCCAGTAATATCACACAAAGCAACAAGCAGAGAGACACTCTACAGATATTCCTGCTGTTAGACAACATAATGTACTTTTGAGGCTTTTTAGTCGAGAATGTAGTTGTTTAGATTTCAACTATGCAGTTTATTTCTAAGAATAATAGTGCCTATTTTAAAATATTCACAATTTCTGAAAGAGCTCGTCGACAGCCATTAGTCTCCCATAGAGTAAACCAAAAACAGTTGACATTTTCTATCCACAAGATGGCGACAGAACCGCATAATAAGCCCTTACGCCTAGAAGATTATAACAGTCTGATTTCTAACTACAGCAGATCAAATCATTATTAAACTGGTAGGCAATCCCGTATTTTAGACCAATCTCCCGCAACCATACAGTATTTTAATTCATCCGGGCAACTCCCGTAATTTCACCCCTCCTTTTGGGACAGTCTGTAAACACCCCCGGGTCTGCAACTTTGGTACATTACCCGATCGCAGCAGCCGCCCAAATCCTGCTGCATTCTATCCCGGTACTCAACAGTGTTATTTAGAGACCTCACCCCTGAACACCCCTTATTCCCAGTCTCCTAGATTTTCAGGACATGTTGGCAGGTGTGCTGGTAAGTGGTAAGTCGATCTCTCTCTTTTGTATGTTGAAGTGCTGTATTTACACCGATTTGCTCGCATATCAGGAATGTGTGTTGTGTCGGCAAAAAGAAAGAAGCAAAGTCTGCATGGGTTTAGCTTTTTTCCTTATCGCAAACACAACAGCGGTCTGGTAGTGATTGCGGGGCTTTTTTGGTTGTTTATTATTGTGAAATCCCGATTGCAACAGAGAAAAACTGTAGACTGTAACACTGTAAGAAAATATCTCTGTAGATGGATGGCATTTCATGTCACGTTCAGCCTTATAGTCTTAATGTGTGAGCAAAATCAGCTGTTTTGTCATTACTTTAGACATTACGCTAGAGAATCATTCAAACACCAGTTTTAAAGTGACGCTGGTGAATCAGTAACGGCTTCTGCAGTTCTGATGTCAGCTGCAGATGTGGATTAACGGCGGAAGAAAGAAGTTCCTAATAAAAAAGGGTTTTTTAGACTCTCAGTGTTTGATTTTCTTATTTATATACGTGATTGTGTGTTGAACTGTTGTATAAACACAATATCACACTCGTAGCAGTGCGATATGGCTGTAAATCAGCACTGGTGGGACGCTAAGATACTCGGCCTGCAGCCTCGCACCAGTGCTGATATACAGCCATATC